TTGTTATTTCGCTAACGCCGCCTGGCCACTGGTATTTGTAACGTCAATGGTAGTTGTGTGCGAGGACATCTCAAGGAACATGTTGCGCACGGTGAAAAAACACGAAGCAGACTGAACGGTCTTGGCCAGCGTGCCGCCGTCGAGAGCACGATCCGTCACCAATGTAAAAACTCAACTAAAGCGATGATGAAAAAATCTGAAACAATATATTTTTGGGGGGCGAGCCACGCACACATAAACACACACACACACACACACACAGATGCACGGGCGGCGACGCAGCATCGACAGGCTGGCAGGAAGGCAGGAAGGCTGGCGGCAGACAGACAAAGCGCGCACTAACACCATGGCGGCAATTTCAAAACGCAGCGGCAGAGTGGGTCTCGCTCTCTGTACGAGTGTGTGTGTGTGTTGGTGCGGGTGTGGGCCTGGCTTACTAAAGGCCGCCGCCGCCGGCCAACACACACCGACACACACACAGGCGGTAACTTCGCAGCAGCAGAGCAAAACAAAAAAAAAAAAAAAGCACAGCAAACACAACAAAAACCGAAAAAATATTCAAACGCACACAGGGAAATGAAGGGAAAAAGCAAAAAAACAAAAAAAAAGAAAAGTTTTCGGTTGCATAGGCGGAGGCGTCGGGCGGTCGGCCGGCGTCGCAGTCAGCTGCTCTGCTGGCGCTATTCAAATGCTGCGAAGCTGGCAGCGCTGCCACCTGACAGCAGCAGCAGCAGCAGCAATAACAACAACAACAACAAAAGCAATGCCAACATTGACCCAAACTCAAAGTCCTTAAAGAAAAAAAATATATAGAAGGAGGAGGTGGAGGAGGGGTAGTGCCTCTAAAAACGCGGAAAAAAATTGTGTAAAAAAATAAAGGGGAATTTTTGCGCCGGCGACAAACCCACGCACACCATCACCAGTATATATGTACAGCACACTCGCATACACACACACACACACAGATGAACAGGAAATTTTTTTCGCTGTTAGCCTTTGCCGCCCCAAATATCCTGTCTGCCCCACACCCAGTGTCCTTTTTTCCTGCATTTTGTTTTGTTCGACTTTGATGCGAACGTACTTGTTTTTTGTAATTTTTTATTGCGCAAGCGAGAGGTCCAAAAGAGGGGGAGAGAGACACAGCGCTGACTTTGCATTTTGTTTTTGCTATTTATTTATTTGTTTTTCTGGTCAGTAGTTAACAAAAATTATTTCTGTCGCCAATTGTAGGCTTAATCAATGGAGTTTTGGTAGGGAATTTAGTAATTAATCAATATTTTAGCTAGAAACGCTAAAACACAACAAATAACAACTAACTACAGAGATAAATAGTCAGCGCTGAGATGTAGGCAACGGTTTTTGGTGGTCGCCCCATTTCTGTGGTTGCGCTTTCTAGCACTCAATCAGTCTGACATGGGGCTGCCAAGCTACAAAAGCAAAATCGAAAAAAATGCAAAAAGGAATCCCAAAAAAAATAGAAAATAAACGAAATGCGAGAAAGGGGAGGAAGCACACCTCGGGGCTGAAGGGGAAAGAGTAGCAAAAGAGGCAGCAGCCTCCGCCCTGACCTAAGCCACCGCTCGGGCTTAACTGCCAGCAGCAACCACCTCGCATTCAACCACCCACAAGGGGGAGTCCCCACCATCAATACCCATCCCCTTGCTGCACTCCCCCCTGGCCTGCTCTGCTGCCAACGTCGACGCTCGTCTGCTGCTACTCCTGCTCCTGCTTCTGCTCCTCCTCCTGCTGCTCCTTCTGATATTTCTAAGTTCTTTTTTCGCATTGCAACCTTGCCTCAACTCTCTTTTTCGCTCAGCACTTTTTTCCCCGGCATTTTTTCCATTTCCATTCGCTGTGCATTTTTTCTCTCGGCCGCCCCTCTACATTTTTTTTGTTTTTTTTTTTAGTCCTCTGGATTTTTTTCCTGCCACAGGAAATAAATTTTTTCCTTTCCATTTCGCGCCATCTCGCTTGCACCTTGTGCATTTTGACCCCCGTTTTGCAAAACACAATCGACGTGTTTTTATTTGTTTTTTTTTTTATTTGCCAGCATTTCCCCACTTTCCCTCAGCTGCTATTGCTTTTGCTATTGCATTTTTGGCTTTGTATTTTCGCTTTTAGATTTTGTTTTTTAGGTTCCCTTTTTTATATAAAGAGAGACGGCGATAAGGAGTGATAGAGAGAGAGAGAGAGAAGAGACGTTAAAAAATAGCAGAGTTGCCATTGAAAAATACAATTTATTATAAATTGTTGTTTTTAGTGTGCAACTAGAATTGGGTTAGACAATTGACGGTAAAGAGATCTTTAACAGGTTGTAAGGAAATTTAAAACAAGATTGATTGGTTAATTGAGATAATTAAGCAATAATTAATAAAATACAATTAATTATTATTAATTATTTATTAATTATTAATTAATTTTAAACAAAATTTAATACATAATTTACCTGTTTTTCAATATTTATTTTTTGACAGGTCAGGACATGGTGCAAAAGCGTTGGAAAGCGTTTGATTAAACAGTTTTTAAAAGCCTTTAAATTGAAATCCTTAATTAATTTTAATGAATTATAAAAAAAAAAAAAATTACTTAAGCTATCTCTAACGTTGGTTTTTGGCAGGACACCCAGAAATATATTTGGTTTATAAGTTTGTAAGATTTTTAGTTTGATAGCTTAAAAAAAAACCTTTAAAATCATTCTAAGGGAGACCCCTTAATGTTTTAAATGAATTCTTTACAAATATCAATAGCTAAGCTGTCTTTAAACAATTCTGTTGCCCAGCACACGAAAATATATATTACGTTAAACAATTTTAAAGTCTTTTACTTTGATGAAAGTGAAACCCTTTTAAACTATCAGTTTCTTCTTGAAATTTCTCCCAAAAAATTTCTCAATAATTTCCGCTACACTGACCAACAAAGTGTGCCTCTGCAAAAACATTTTGATCAAGTTTTGTGTGTGAAAAATTAATTATCACCACGTGGCAACACTGTCAACGTGCTTTGATGCCATTTTTTCGCACTCGGTTTTTGTCCAGGACTCGTCGTTCGGCTTTACTCCCCCTTGTTTTATTTTTTTGCGTTTTGTTGCATGTTTTGCTGGATGTCCAAACATTTTTTATGCTGTTTTGTTGTGTGTTTCTGTTTTTTTTTTTTTTTTTTTTGAATACGCAACGCACCGGACAGTCGCCCACACACACACACGCGCATCAGAGTACATATATACATACATACGGGCGCAATATAAAAAGTGCAAAAAAGCATTTTGGAAATTGATGTAGGGGAGGTGTGTGGGTTTCCATGGGCTTATTCCGATGCGTGACTCGCATTTGTGGACTTTGAATACAAACAAAACAGGCATCCTCTCATACACACACACACTTGCATTGGCAGATAGAAACCCATACAAGTGCAATTATGAATACTACACACATACACACACAGCGAGAGAGAGAGACACTCTCACTCACAGCTATATGTATGTGCATTTCAATACGCATTAATAACTACGAATTCAATGTGGCAACCATCCTCGAGGATACCAGGCCCCCACTCACACCATCTTAACTCCCAAAAACACACACAAACATACAGAGACACGCGGCGGCGTCACTGCAGCTGACGCCTAAAAAACGACTACGAAAAAGTACAAAAATCAAATTCCCCGCTCTGCTTGTTAATTTTTCTGCCACTGCCGCAGCTCTTCAATTCACACAGCTGGAAATTGAAAAGCGCCCCGATTATTTTCCGCTTTCCCCAGACTCGTAATTTTCGAAAAATTATATACTTTAAATATTTTAAAGCGCAATTTACACATGATGGGCCCATTATCCCAACATGTAGATCAGTGGCGGTCAATAAACTTACACAAACAGAAATTTCTCACTCCTCTAAGCTTCTAATTCGTTTATTTTTTCGTTAGAAGGTTTTGTATGTTTTTTTTTTCAAAAACCATATAGATTCAACATTTTTGCTTTTTGACGTGCTGCTCTCGTGGCTGCATTTTTTTCGCGTCACATTTTTGCTGGTTGCATTCTATGTCTGGTGGCCGCAAAACGATTTTTCCATGAATTTTTCATCCATTTAGCGTCGCCATTGAGCCATTTTCGAAGCGCTTAGAATTCATTGATACTTTAGCAAATTGTTTTTTCAGCTTTATTTTTTAGGATCTCTGGGTTTTGTTTTGGGATTTTTTATATTTGTATTGTGACATTGAATCTCAGTCTGATATGGAACCCTTCAGAGTTTAGAGAAGTTTGATTGTTTATTTGGTGTTTATTCTCATATTTTTTTTATTCAAGGTATGCAAGTGTCATTAGAAACTATTGTTTGGGTTTTAGATTCACAAGGAAAGGAACTTTGTTTATAATTTAAGGTGGCTGATTCATTAACATGTTATCTTATGAGGATAAAAAGTTGAAATAACTTTATATGAACTCATAAGAACTAAGTTCACATATTAAATAGAATTAATAAGTGTATAATTTCTAGATAGTTGTGGATTTGTAGAACTTTAAAATACACAACTGTTTACTATAACCAATACATTTTGATTAAGACTATTTTCTATCTAGAATACGGGATTTGTTTAACCATTTCCTCAAGTTCTTGATGAATAGTCTTTCAAAGTGTAAGATATGACATTTGAATTAATATGTGATATTATGTTGTAAGCAAGAGAATAAAGATTTATCTTGTAAAAGTATATAACGTCTAATGAATATATAATGAAAAATTAAAGGAGTAAAAGATTTTTAAATCTGTAGAAGAAATAAGAAATGTCCTACTACTATTGAATTTACAAGATTTAAAGACTTCTTCCCTAGAAGTAAATACGTATATCTTTTTTGGAACCATAATATATCTCTAAATACATTAAATTTAATTTCTCATACCATTCTAATCTCAGTCAGTTTTTAATATGTGTTTCTACAGTCTGTCCTGGCTAAGTTTTATGACCTTTTTGTGCTGCTCAAGCAAACTTAGAATTATTAGTTTCACTCGATTCCACATTAAATCGGAGCTTTAAACAAACTTTAACGACAATAATTCCAAGAAACGTGGCGACAAACTTGTGTGCATCTGACTCAATCCGAGGCGGTGGCTCTTCGGAAATCGATCTGGAAAACAGCTGAATCAATCGGAGGAAATCGGCTTCTGGATTCGAGAAGCTCCGAGAGGCGACATCGTTCCAGTCCGCTTTTAGTTGCTTTTTCACTCGCCTCCGGATCGCTCAGCCATGCAGAACAAGATGCGGCTAATGCGGGAGTATAGCTCCTACGATGATCTCAGCGCACCCTTCGGGATGTACGGGTCACAGTCCCTGGACTCGCTGCAGGATCATGTGGATATGAACCCCAGCGGAAGCGATGGTTTGTCCACAGAGGATCTTGACTACTATCCAAATTGCGCCCAGTCTCACTCTGGATTACTGAGGGAGCACAACTTTAAGGTGAAGTCTTACTACTACAACGTGGGTCACTGCGTGCACTGCCGGAAGCGGTGAGTCCAAGGACCTAGATCAGTATCCTTGCAATGGGTTCAAGCTCTATGGATTTTTTGCAGGATCCGCTTTGCCATGGCCAGTTTGCGTTGCCGGGCGTGTCCCCTTCGCTGTCACATTGCCTGCTGCCGCCAGCTGACGGTGAACTGCATTCCACAGCCACAAATAACCACGAAACGTGGCAATCTCAGCGATTATGCTCCCCGAGTGGCACCCATGGTACCGGCCCTCATAGTCCATTGCGTGACGGAGGTGGAATCCAGGGGCCTGCAGCAGGAAGGACTCTATCGCGTGTCCTCGACGAGGGAAAAGTGCAAACGCCTGCGGCGGAAGCTGATCCGCGGCAAGACCACGCCACATCTGGGCAACAAGGACATTCATACATTGTGCTGCTGCGTTAAGGAGTTCCTCCGGCAGCTGATCCATCCCCTGATACCCATCTACCACCGCAGAGACTTCGAGGAGGCTACGCAACTGGAGGACCCAATGGCAGTTGAGGAGGCTGTCTATTTGGCCGTCCAGGATCTGCAGCAGGCTCACAGGGACACGTTGGCCTATCTGATGCTCCATTGGCAGCGAGTTGCCGATAGCCCACCAGTCCGGATGACGGTCAACAATCTGGCCGTGATCTTTGCCCCCACTCTCTTTGGAGATTTGGATTTGAACCTGGTCAATGTGGTTGTTTGGCAACAGGTGCTGAAGGTGTTGCTTCTCCTGCCGCCTGATTTCTGGTCTCAATTCCTGGAGGTCCACCCTGTACCCTCGCCGATGGGCAGCACCTGCGACTACGAGGAGCGCTACAGGCAACGGCCCTGGGATCACTCTTCCAACCTGCGTTGGAGCTCCTTCAAGACCTACTTTAGATCTATGGTAATATGATGTTTAAGTCTGTCATTTTGGTCTTTCTGGTTTTCACTTTGACTAAAGAAAATTAAAGAATTTCACTACTTATACATATATGAATCAGAAAAAGAAATGAAAAATTTTGATGAATAAGACCTGTCTAAAATTTTTCTAGATTTTATTGTCATTTGTTTTTCTTGAGTTTGAAAGCCAGAAAGATTTTTTCTTAACTTGGGGCTTACTAATTCCTTTTATTTTAGGTAAACCTCAGCAGCACCCACTTGTGATTTAAGCAGATTGGTGATTGGACCTTTAGTCCAAGAAATTAATCACTATTACAGACGTGTTTCACACTTATTAGTATATGTTTTGTATTTAATTTTATATATTATGTATAAGTTTAAATAAGTTTAAGTTAAGTTTAATAACTAATAAGTCTTAAATACGTTATTTGGTTTAAACAGAATCTCTCCTATGAGTTATTTCTATAGCCACCATTAATACTTTTTATTAATTTAGATCTTTAAAAGTTACATCAAATATGCCATCCTTAGTACCATACAAGGTTTGCAAAAATTACTATTTAAAGTAATACAAAAAAGTATTCTCCCACATTTATAAAAAGAATTTAGAGGAATTTTTAGTGTTAATTTTTTAAACCAAATTTTATTAGAATTATTTGTCATAAATTTCTGACAAATGTTAATCAAAATATTGTCGTTGTATCATATTAAGCCTTGATTTATTTCTCAGATTACTTTTCAATATAAATATTTAATAATAAACTTATTTTCCAAGTTCTTGTTTTTCAATCTTCAATAATAAAGACAAGGTTTATAGTTCCCATTTAAAAATAATATTAAATATTTACTAATAAAAGTAAGGACCCAGATAACACAAATAATAATTTTAGAATTCGTTGTTTTAATCCTACTTAAATATAAACATCTCTTAAGTGTCACTAAATCATTTTTAATGGCTTTTCTGCACAAAGGTCTCAGCCGGAAGTCATTCTTAATTTTTTTCACTTGATGAGCCGTCAAATAATTTTTTCGTAAATTTTAATATTACATATTTGAGCTAGTAAAACATACAGAAAAAGAGAGCGACTTGAAACCATTTTCACAACGCATAAATAATATAGCATGTCCCGAAGCGACGTAATGACTATATATTTTGAATATTGAAACATTAATATATATTTTTAATTGAATTTCCCATTTTTTGTTGTCCCGACGAACGTTGATTAATTCCCAACCGTAGAAAGGTGTGTAAAAATTAATAATTTCCATTTGCCATATTTATATTTCTTTGAAGCGTAAACCAAAGCACAAAGTAAAATATTTTGCCACGTATGCGAACATAAATAAGTTAAAGCGCTAAGAAAAAAGTTTTAGCGTTTTAAAAACAATTTGGTGAGTGGCAGCTTTGCAAAAAACTGTGTGTGCGGCCATTAAATGCAAAAAACTGAACAGGAGCAGGGGCAGGGACAAAGGGGGACAGAGTAAAACAAAACAAAACTCTCGAATGCACTGGACGAGTGCATAAATAGACCCCTCTTTCAATACATATATATAAATATATTAATGTATATATTTTTATATATGACTGGGAATAATGTATAATACTATGCAATTGAAAATAAACACAAAGCGAGATAGCTGCAGCGGCAGAGTGTGCGAGCGGACAGCAATGAGCGCTCCTGTTGCTAACCGCTAAAAAGTGGCAAGTGGGCTGCAATTGTTGCAGCTGCAGGGCGACACGTTAACGCTGCAACGTTAACCAAATGCTAATGCCACACATCCATGCAAAATGCACACTGCACACTGCACTCTGTTTTGCCCTCCGACCTCACACTAACGGGTTCATTTCGCACCAATACCGTCACGGAAAAATGCAACGAAGTGCGGCATGGGACAAAAAATGGAAAAATAAATAGGCAAAACAAAAATAAAAATAGTTTACATAATTCACGTATTATATCGGATCAAATTTTAATGCCGCTGCGTTGCATGTGTGTGTGTGTGTATGTTGGTGAGTTGGTGTCTGTGCGAAAAGCATTGCCTACTTGGGGGCGCGCGTTAAAATTGTTTAACAAATGGCATGACGGCAATGTATGTGAGTGTGCGTGACGCTGTGCAGTTTTTGCTTTTTTTTTACGACTTTTTAGCCTATTTTTATTGTTAATTAAATGAGGGGAATAACGCACACACACACACACATGCTGAGTTCTGTGTGTATGTGTTTGATGTGCGCAACAAATTTTTGCAATTTTTCTATTTTCCCGGCTGCTTTTTGCCGCCCGCTCGGGCATTTTCCGCTCGTTGTTCGCGTGTAATTCACTAATTGATAGTGTGGGCCCATGCCACGCCCCCCGCTGACCACTCGCGTAATTGTGTTAGTGTGGGTGTGGAGCGTATGTGAGCACATCCACGAAAAAGAATGAATACAAAAACAGGGAAATGCAAATGTCAAATAAAACTAAAAAAATTGCATTTAAAAATAATAAAAGCATATTATGCGTGGGGAGAATCAGAAAAAAAGTAGAGACAACTCACCAATACAAGCTCAGCGTGGTGCTAATAATAACATAGGGGGGAATCTCTGCACATTTTTATGCTTATTTCAGTAATGTTTTTTTTTTTAGCATTTTTTTTGTTGCCCCTTTGCTAGGCGTGTTTTATAATTTTATGTAAGCTTTGTGTCGTTCGCCCAAAAACAAGTGGGCGCGGCATGTGGTCCATAAACACAGAGGCTTTTTTTTTTATAGTGTATTTTTTTATCGGTTAAGAAAAATATTTTATTAAAAAATACATATCCGTGATTAATTTTATTTTTAAAGGATTTCAATTACAATAGGGACTTATCCTGGACTAGCAAATATTTATTTTGAGATTGGAATTTTATTTGTAAAAAGCTCTCGAGAACTATGCATGGAATGCATCAAAACATGGCTAATATTATATTATTCCTCATGCCATTTTCAAACATGACTGCGTGAATTAATGGCTGAATATTTGTATTGACATTTGAATAAAGTTAATCGAAGGATTTTCTGTTTGAAAAACAATGGTTAATATTATACTCCTGTTTAAAGTTAATTCTGAACTGCTTTGACAAGACTTAATTAACCTTTTGAGGTGGCTAACGATTTTATACAATTTTTGAATAAATTTCCAACCATTTCTGTATTCAATCAAAGTTCTCGTTTACTTATTTAAAAATAATTTGAATATAATGTATATTTTTCATCTCCCTATGGAGCATGAAAAAAATATCCCTATAAAGCCCCTGACATGCGCCCCAAAATGGTGAACATAATTTTTGGTCAGCGGCAAAAAAAAAAGAAAGGAAAACTGGTTGCAAATGGCACCCCAAACCCCTGAAAGGATGTGAAAGAAAGTGGCAGAGCAGAGCACACTAACATGATAGGCTGGCCGAATCATCCAAACACACACACAGGGAAAATGTGTGGCCAGTTTCAGCTCAAAAGGTATACCAAAAAAGAGGGGGATTGGAAAGGGGGAACAGGATTTTCCTTCTTTCGTTTTTTGGCCTGCCAACGTACATATGAAAGTGCCAAGTGTAGTAATTCCAATTGAAACTGGACTGGGCCACACCAACAACACCAGGAGCAGACTGCAAAAGTCCAGCTGCAGGAGCAGAGTCGCCGAAAAAAAACAAGAAAAAGTGAAAAGTGTGGGTAATTAAAAAAGTAGCAGCAGCCGCTTTTGAGCGTAGAAACGCACTAATTTCCAGTAGTGCAGTGCAGCTACTCTCCCTACTCTCGCAAGGCACACGCACACGAACATGCAAGCCAGGACTAAAAGAGGAAATACAAAAATTGACACACTCACACTAGGTTGCAACATGCACACACACATACACGCACATCCCCACACACAAAAAATGGAGAGTGTAGCATACTTTTAGGCATGCTGCTATTTCACTTTGTCCCGCACAAATGAACACCTCCGCCCATGTCGGCCCCCTTTCAGAAGACCCTCTTGTGGGTGTGTATATGTGTGAGTGGGTGTGTGGATGTGCTTGCACCGCTCATCAGCGCTGCAAATGTTGTTAGCCCCCCCTCACCGCAATTTGTGGGCAATGTGGGTGTGGCATACGGTATAAGCCGGACACATCATTCGTCCAGAATGGTTCGTTGTCAATGCTGCTTTTCTGCAAAATGTTACGGAAAAAATATATACCAAATGTGCTTATCCTGTGTTGCATAACAAACAAGCGGTTCATTTTGTTAAATTCACAAATTATTACAGAACATTAGCTAAAATTCAAAATGTATTTTTAAAGTGCCTCTAAGTATGCAAATATTAGTATTTATCCTTGCAGGACATAATTTAAGTCAGAAGCTCTTCTAGCTGTGAATGAGTCATTTGCAACCCTAAAAATCATATATATTCTTGATCAGAATCAACAATCAAGTCGATCTAACATAGCTATGTCAGAGAAAAATTTATTTAATTGCAAAATGTACACATATTTTAATATTATTAAATTTTAAAATTTTTATGCAGATTTAAAAATCTATTCAATCAACAAAGAAAAGCTTTATAAATTTAAATTAATGTTTTTTTTTGATAAGTTATACGTTTTTTAAACTTTAATTTGTCGAATAGTCATATAAATATATCAAATATTTATATTCCTGAAGTTAGTTTCCCTTCTTGTTATTTATATTTATTTTAATGCTTATTTTAAAAGGCCACTTGTGTGATTTAAAATGGATTCGTTTTTTTTTCAGAGACTTAAGTACCTTCTTTTTTTAATTTATGGCCCTTGTATAATCAACCAAGTTTACGAATATGTATAAACAATAAGCTTTTTTCATATTATTTCAACCGTTTTTTTATGGATTTCCTTGTATTATTTTTACCAAATTAAATGCAGGTCAATTCTCATATTGAGCATTGTTTGATCAATTGCAAAATAATTTATTATACAAATATATTATAAATTTAATTTAGAACTTTATAAATTCTTTAAAACAAGTTCATTCCATTGAAAAGATTTTAAGATGGCTCATCAAACTATAAGCCCACCAAGATAGGCTCTCACGCATATCGCTGACCTACAAGGATTACTCGGTCAGCCGATCTCTCAAATGACAGCTGGCACCTGCCTTTGGGTCACTTTCGGCCACAAATAACCGTTAAAAAACAATAAGCTCAATTAGCAGCAATCAACACAGGCCGTGGCTGGTGCATAATTGACATTTTACGAGCAACTGCAGCTGTTGGTAGTCTGCTTCTTTTTTTTAGGCCTGGTTTCCAGCCACGGCTTGAGTGTCATGCCAAGTGCGTGGGGAGTCGCGAACGAATGTGAGAAAACGGGGCAACATGACACCACAAGGGGTTAACAAACACTCAGAAAAAATATTTGGAAATTAAGGAAATTACAGCAATAACTAGACCATAGTAAAATAAAAAGTGATCTTAAATCTTTCCCTAAGATACCTCAATAAGTTATTAAAATCATAATTGTTATGATCAACTTCCTAAACCTAGCACTTTCAGTAAATAAACCTTAAAATGACATGTTTTTCCTCTCAGTGCCGATGAAATCCGATACTTTTGTTAAGCTTAATCAATTGGAAAATTGTAAACAAAAGCTGATGCCTTGCCGGGTCCTCTCAGGGCTGCGAATCCGATTGCGATTCGATCCCCAAGCCCAATCCCCAATCTCTCGCTCAACTGGCCTCTGCAACGCCCGAGGCTCTGGCATAATTTAATGCTTGACACCCTTTGCCTTAAGTTCCAGCCAGCAGCAGACAGAGGTATGTACATATATAGTATGTGCATATATGTATATAAAATCGAAACAATTGCAGATGCACTCACCTGGGGGCACATTTTGCACTGATACTTGCGTCCGCTGCCAGTGCCGCCGGCATGTGCGCTGGCCACCGAGGCGACACCGCCGGGTCCGCCCATTTTGCTGGCATTAATAGGCTGTGGCACCACTAACAAGGCAGCGGCGGAGGCAGCGGCCACTGCCTGATTGTGATGATGAGCAGCGGCGGCGGCATGATGCGAGGTGGGACCCAGGTTGGAGTTGTTGCCGCCGCCAGAGCCAGCACCACCTGCTCCTCCTCCACCTGGACCACCGTTAGATGCACCAAGACCCAGGCCACCTGAAAGATGAGATATTCTATATTATATAGTATTCATATCATGAATTTCTAGCAAATTATCTTTAAACTAAACCCCTTATTGAGTGACTTTTCCCGTAGTGCACACATGACTCATGACACCCATCAACTCACCTTGTCCCGTAACCGCATGATGCTCCAGACGATTGTCATCCAGAAAGTGACCTGCAAAAGGCAATTGAGTTGTTGCATTTAGTTGTTGTGCCTGGTTGTTTGTGGCGCCACGGCTTAGAGGCAGCATTAGTGCTGCCCCACGGTTGTCCATCAAGTCTGGTTGATGTTCTGGTTCAGTCGCAGTTTCAGTTCAGTTGAAGTTGCCGCCGCTGACGTTCACTCACGTTGACCATGTCGCCACCTGACCAACTCCTGGCTACCATCTACCAGATACTAGCTACCAACTAGCTCTTTTTTTCTAATTAAACTGAGACATTAGTTGGTCCCGCTGATTGCCACTGGGAAATCGCCCGAGGAGTTATGTGAAAATAGTTTCGCATTTGCCCGGGCTCTAGAATTTTTTTCTCTGCCCCATTTGCGTGCAAAAATTGTGTGAATCCGTTAATGAGTTTCTCTGCTGTTGCCATAAAGGGTTGGCTTGGGTTGTGTTGGTCAGGATTTCGGGCAATCGTCAAGTTATAAACAATAAGCCCACAATGAGCATCGGCGAAAGGCCCCTGTAATTTTCCTCGGCAAAACGAACCGCTTGACTGCTGGGGCGCCCCGTAGTTATGTCAAAAACATTTCTATAATAAAGCATTTGCAGATAATTGCTGGGCCACGTCCCTCGCTACTTGGCTATTTTCTGTGTTAATTACAAGAGAGCTCAGCTCAGATGGCCAATGGCGCCAGCCAGAAAGTTTAGCTAATGAACAGTGGTAAATTTACACGAACACGGAAAGAAATATGAAACATTTTGTATGCTATTTAAAATAATTAAATATCTAAATACTTGAATGCATAGTCGGCATGCAAGAAAGGGGAAGATATTCTAAACAAGAACATAAATTACATGTTAAGTGATATTAATTAAATGAAATTAAACTTTTCCCTGTGTAACTGCGGCATTTCAAATGTAGCTGCCGCAATATGAGCCGGCGACACACTGTAGTAAAAGTTGCCTTATTGTTAATTTGTACAAGCAAAGAGTATTCGTATCCCCATCCGAGTACATCTACATCGATGCTAACAATGTGGACGATCGCTATCGTTGCAGCAGCAGCAGCAGCAACAACAACCTTATTGGCCAATTGCCTAGCGTTGACATTATCGGCCGGCGATCATTGCCGCCAACGTCAACGCCAACAAGCTCTGGGGGTCCCAGGTCCAAGTCCAGATCCAGCTCCAGCTCCGAGCTCCAGCTCCAAGCTCCAAACTCCAAACAGGAGCGTGTTGCTGTCAATGTTGCTGGTAGCAGCAGCAACTGCAACATAAGCAGCAGCAACAACAGCAACAGCAGCAACAGCAACAGCAACAATGCTACTGCAACAAGGCCCAACTAAAATGTTGTTTGCATTTTAGGAATTTATGTAAACATCTTGTAAGCATCTGGCGAACGTTGTTGCTGTTGCTGCTGTTAAAGGTCAATTTTTCGGCGGCTTTGTTACACAGAAAGAAACTGTTAAATATTTGTAATATACAAAGGACTGAATACCATTATTAAAAGAATATTTTAAAAGAGAATTCTAGCTTGAAACCTTCTCCTAAAAAACCAATAAGATCGTTATTCATATTCCTTTTCGAAATTATTTGTACATCTTACTATTAATAATTTTGAAAGGTCAAAGAAATTTTCCTAATTAAAATATAACTCTTAAGTACTGCAAAATATATTCAGAATAATATTTTAGTAATATAAATATATATTACTTCTACAAATATACCAAAGATGTTATGAACAAGTAGCTAAGTGCATTAAATTTTTGTTTATTATGTTAAATGTGGGTTTTATAGCGTTTACTCTAAATGTTTTGTCATTAATAGTTTTTTGCTTTTTAAAGGATTTCAAAGCATCCTGCATCACCTGCGTATATTTAAAAAATCAGAGTCCCCTAAAACCTATAATTTATCTCAAATATTTTTTAGTGGTCCCAGAAAAGGTTTTAAACAAATTAAATTAAAACTAAACGAATCTGAAAGGTTGCAATTCAGATGCAAATATTTTGAATCCTCTAGCAAACCCTATGAACCTGTTTTCAAATTAATAAAATCCTCCACTTGATCGACAAAATAATTTTTTATCTGCACCTCTCGCCGTGGGAGTATCAGACCGGAGCACATTGTCTTGGCGGCTTTTGTTCGCCGGCCCGCACGCGTTTTCCCAATTTAGCCTTTTGCATTCTTCGCAGAGCGGAGTGGGTCTAGATCGGTATCTGAGAGATCTTTGGTTCGCGCGCCGCGATCTGAATCTTTGAAATTCGTGATTATCAGGCCGAGTTGTTTTTTCTGAGCAATTAATTAACAAGCGCATTGTTGTCAGTCAGGTTCTGGGTAGGTCAAGTGGTGATCTGGTCCAGGTTGCCCTGCGGTTGGTTGGGATAGGTCCGAATTATCGGTTGACTCACCTTTCTGCAGATTGTTGTGGTGGTGATCGTTCATTTTGGCCTGAAAGAGAAAGGAGACACAGCTGGCATTAAGTTAATTCATCGTAACTCAGATACTCTGACTCTGACTTCGACTTTTCCACTGGCAATTCAATTAATTCGATTTGCAATTGCCGTCTCTAATCTGGGCAATCCCTGCTAATTGCCAGTTACCTAATGTCAATTCATAATTATTCTGCATGCATTTAATTAACCTCATCAACTTTACATTATTATCAAATATTCATTCGCCAATGTGTGTGTATTTTGAATGTATGACCCCCCATCAAATGGCCATAAAACAATTTGCAGCACTGTCAAAATATTTAAACAAATTTTCTAATGACACTCAGCCGTACAAAATCGCATTAAAATGGGCTAGTGAGAAAAAATATGAAATGCAATTTACACGCTGCAAATCACAAATAACAAATGTTTTTGCCAGCTGTCAGGGCGAGTCAAAGCTAAACAAGCGATAAATTAATTGAAAAGCAAATCGAATGCGTGACAAAACCAACAACCTGCAGGCACACATATCCGATTCGACAGCAAAGTCCCGGCTAGAAAATAATAAATAAAAATTCTAACCGTCATCCAGCGAGAGTGATAGATGAAAAAGTGCTTACAAATATGTCGCAAAACCAAAATAAAACGCAAAACAAACAAACAAACAAAAATAAAGAGCCTTGGAATAGTCTAAAAAATGCCAACGCTTTCGATTGCATGTAAATTCCGAATGTGGGTTAAAAATCCTTCAGCCAGACATGACCTAGGACGACGACGGCTATCGATGCCAGCAAAATGGAAATCGAATAAAATAAACTCCCGGCACGCCGCTGGCTGTGTCAAAAAATAAATGACAGCCGGCTTTTTTCTAAACAATTTCCATATGTTTAGGGGAAACCCCCTTGGTTGCAACAAGAAAATATAAATACAAATATTGCAGCGGCAAAACAAAAGCAAAATCTAGTCTGGCTTTGGCCAGACACAGTGGGCTATAAAAGTAAATAAATGGGTGGTTAAAAAGGGTGGTTACGGAGTGGCTACGTAGTAGTAGTTGTTGAATGGGTGCCGGGAGTGGGTGAAAGTGTGGAGCAAAACAAATCCAAAGCGTTGGCGGCACGCGAGCTTAGAATTTGTTTTATTTTTTTCTCCCTTTTTGCTTTTCCCCTTCCCTATTTTGTTGTGTGTGCCATAAAGTTATGAACGTTTGTTTAGCAACGCCAGGATAAGAATCTATAGATAAACATATAGCACATAGTAGAGCATTTAGCGGACCACTTACCTCGTACTCCTGTTTCAGGGACATCGGATGATGCTCGCTGGCATGCTGATGACTGCGCGGCGTTGGCGGCCAAAGATTGTAATCGCTTATGTCTTTGGCATGCTGCGGTCGTTTTTGTTTTCGTTTTCCGGTTGGATACGGATACGGATATGGATTTGATGTAGAAGAGGAGAGAGTATTTGTGTGTGTGTGTGTGTGTTTATTGCCAGCGTTTTGTTGGTCAATTAGAGGTGAAATAGCACATGAAATAGAGACAATATACATCAATTTAGAATAGAATAATTGTGGGTTTTTTAAAATAGTGTTTCTACTTCCCGGAGGCCCATCTTTGTTGTAATTTTTTCTTTACAAAGATACAGTTTTTCGAATTCGATTTTCTTTATCTATAAATATGAATATTAGAAGACAAGACAGTAATTTAAGTCTTAGAGTCTTAAAAACTCGTTCTGAATATGTACTTATCTTTTAAATATGGACAGTAATTATTTCAGCGTATTATGTATAATCCAATTTTAAATAAACATAGTGCCTTGATTATGGTTTCGAATACACCAAAGACTATTTAAATAAATGTCAAATTCTCATGGAATAACAAAACTGTACCCAACAGTTGGTATTTTTATTTTTTATGTATAAAAAAATCATACATTCATTTAAAAGGGGCTTATGGAAATAATATATGCACTTGAAAAAAAGTAAAATAAAAAATCATTAGAATTGCCCTTTTCTCCAATTTTTTTTTTCTGACTACCTAAATTGCTTTATAAAAACGTACAGGAAACCGAGTACTTGTTAAAAGTAAACATAAAAAGTGGTTATTGTAAATAAATCCTTTTGATGGAAAATACCTTAAAATAATTAAATTTTTAGATAATCATAACGGTCTGGTTCGGTAATGCATACTATACTTTATAGGTAATATTGTAAACTAAAACTTTTTATATAAAATTACAACAATTTATAATTTCTAACATATTTTCTGTTTTAACTCTCTAATGTAAATGTTTAAACTGTGAAAAGTATCTTAAGGATGAAGTCTTAGGTCCGAAATAAATAATAAATAACATTTGCAATCGATACTAATAAATATATATGGCTATAGCTTATCTGGCAAACTGGTCAAAACCGTATTTTTTATAGTAACTAAATATTGATAAGTCATGATAAAGTTAAAGTTAGCTATAAGTCATACTATTTGTCACACTAATTTCTGACAGATATAGTAATAATTATAATTAATAATATTGTGTTCTAAAATGCCATTGCAAAATGTTCACAATTCGATCACTAAAAATGTAGAAAAGCAGGTGAAGGAATTTACTCTAATATAATATATATTTCTAATTAATTAAGATTTTAATGGCGAATCGAACTTTTAGCCATAATTCGCTTCTTGCCCTTGATGTACAGAAGAAGATATAGGGTCAGAAATTACTAAAATTCGAATACCCTAAAAGGGCATATAAAGCATCCTATTAACATTATCTATTTCTATAAATGAAATCGGATTCCCTATCTAGATAACAATTCATGTTATCCACTTGAATTAAAACTGTTTTGCAACAAACTGAATTCGCTTTTAATTCAACTACAGAAATAAATACCATTCCCTGGGAAAAATGTTTATAAATAAAAAAGAGCCTATTCCCATTGATCTAGGGGAAACAAGTTGACAAAAACAATTCTGGGAATAAAGGACCTGCCTGAACCCGAAACCGCCAAGGAAGACTGCACAAAAACAAGAGTTGGCCCAAAGGCTCGAAATACTAATACAAATAAATGTGAGTGTCAATTGAAATAGGAAACCGCGCTGCACACAAGCGAGGTGTCAAAGCGATGGCCACTATGACTGCTCCTGCTCCTGCTCCATGTCCTGCTCCTGTTCCTATTCCTCTCCCTGTTCCCGTGATGGAGATGGCGTTGGCGATGGCGACGAGAGCGACAAAAGTGCGGCGGCTTTTGGTGTTGGCCCAAAACGCAACGCAACGCAATGCCAGAAACGCAACGCAAGGAAGGCAACACAACAACAGCAAAAAAAAATGGGAGAAGGAAAAAGAAAGGCCAAAACAAAGCTGGTCAAAACGCAACTAAAAAAAAGCATTGCATAGCGCAAGGGGAGTTGGCCACTGTGTGATAGGCCCACACATGCAGCTGTGTGGGTGTGAACCGGCGAGCGTTAGCCTTGTTGTTTTAGTTTGCGAGCAGGCTCCATCTCTTTCGCCCGCATGTCCCTCTCTCTGTCGCTCATGACTAGTTAGTAGGTGGACTAAAAAAAATGGAAATGAAAATGAAGGCAGCACACAACGACAGACACACGCACACACGCAGCTGCTCCCGCTCCTGCTCCTGCTCCTGCTGCTGATGAAGATGACCAGCGCCATGGACATGGCTGTGGACACGGGCGCGGACGGAAGTCCTCTCTAACCAACATCCCAGCAGCAAATACAAGTGCAGCAGCAACAGCAAAAACACGGCCACAGGATGGCGTCGCTTGGCCCACTCCCCATTTTTTTTTTTTTTGCCATTTCCGCCAAGTTCGGTTTGCAGCACGCAGCAAAAATGAACAGGACTAAAAAAAAAGAAGAAGAAGCGGCAGCAAGGAGCAGGAGGAAGGAAAATTTTGCGAAACGCAAAAAAATGGCACAGCGCAGCAGCAGCTTTCTCTGTCATTCTTCTCTCTCTCTCTCACTCACACTCGTTCCTTAGCGCCAAAACAGTGAAAACGTAAAAAAATGCTAGAGGAAAAAAATCAAAACAAATTTTTTAACCCCTTCACAGGACGACGCCGTCGACGTCGGCAGAGGGAGTTCAGGGAGTGAGGTCCTTTGGGTTGGGCGTATTGGGTGGCTTAGCCGCCGCCGTCGCTCTTGCCTCTATGCAGCGTAAAAAGTGCAAAAAATTAGGCGGAAAACGTTAAAACATTTTTTCTTGTTTTTGTTTTTTGTGTGTCCTCTGCAATTGCACGTCCTGGCCAGCCGAGAGGACTCGAAAGCCCCCCGAAATCCCTGCCCATTCCCACACTCAAACTCCATGCCCATGCCCCTTAGTCCAAAGCGCGTTTTGCACAATGTAGCAACCTTTGCCAAGGGGTTTGGGTTTGGGTCCTGGTCTGGACTTGCTGCTGCTCCTCTGCCCATCCTCGCAAGACATCCTGGTCGCCAGACTCCCCTCCTTCTTCACCTTGGCTTAGCGCATTTTTTTTTCTTACTCTGCATTTCATTTTTATTTAGCTCCTTTTGGATTCACATCTTTTTAGTCATGTTGCCACTGTCTGCTTCTATTGATTTTTTTCGCATTTAGCCAAAAAGGGGGAAAAAAATCAACTAAATTTCTTTTATTTTTTGTCGTGTTCAAATGTTTGACCATCCGCACTTGTGTTTCATCTTCACTGGAGCTATATACCAGTTGGGGTATTGTTATTTTTTAACACGACATGATAAGTTTACTTTAAGGTTAGAGGAAACTTGCTTTTTAAAAATACTTTGAAGAATATATAAATTACATATATTTAGCTAATAAACACAAACATCTTTTGTTTATTAGATCATATAGTGATTAAAGGTAGTCTAAACAAAACTGATTCTGTAATATAGCTCTAAGAAAAACCTTACTTTATCTTGGTCACTTTGTCAAGAAGCTAATTTTTTCTGATAATTTAAAGTGCATATAAATTCCATCAACCTTTCTTAATTTTCCTTTAAAAACTAATAGTCATCATTTTAATAATTATCCCGAAAGAGTATCCCTCCCTCTATATACTTAATATCTTAGCTACCTTTCGCTTTTCTTTATTTTTTTCAAACACCAAAGTGTAGCCACATTCTGCTGAGGTTAGAATAGGCTGTCTCTGGCTCCTGTTGATTTTGTTGCTGCACAAAAATTGTGTGTCCAACTTTGTTGCAATTACTTTAAAAAATTGAAGTTGCTTGCGGTTGCGGCGGTTCTCCGTTTTCCGCCCTTTTCCAGTATTTTTTCCGCTTTCCCAATTCGATGTGCCGTGACTGGCCCCATTAGTGTAAAGCTATAGCCTTGGATACAGAATCGGACTGAAGTTTGCAATTGGAGTTGTTTCAATTTTCACTTTTTCAGTCGATGACGGGTTTTTTCACTAATTGAAGCGTAAGTATTAATTGAAAAGCATTGTTTCGCCAACGTGCCGCGGTCAGTGGTTTTCCTTACAAAATATATACTATATATTTTAAAAGGATATATAATTCATTTACTTTGCAGCCCGACTAACTAATCTACTTTTGCTTTGTTGAGCTCTGGCTGGAAAATTAAGTGCGAAATTAATTAATGAGCTTCTTTGGCGTCTTTTGCTCTGTCCCTGTCTGTCTCTTGGCCAACTAATTTCGCTAATGCAAGTGACAACAACTAAAAAAAAAAGACTATTTAATACATATATATATATATATATTACCGACTGTTGACGGAGTTAGCGGAGAGGCCATTGTTAAACTTTAAAAATTAATTAACTACGAATATCCTTTAAGAATCATGCGGCTGTAGGAAAGTTTTAAATGGGTTTTCCAGGACTCGCTAACGAGTCTATTCAGTGACAAAAACACAGCAGGAGGTTGGCCAGCCAACCAAGGTGAACCTTTTCGCCTGGACACGTCGTCGTCCTTGGAGACAATCACTCTCCATTCAAAACAATAATTTCGCTGCTCCTTAAAAACAAAAAAAAAAAACAACAAAATCGTTGGGCAAAGAAGAAAAAGAAACAAAGAAAATGAAAAAGAAAAGCACGGGGTAGGGTGAAAAACACCAACAAAACAATGTTTAACGCGTCGCGCAAAGAAAAACTTGTTTACATCTTGAAAAACGCAGGAAAAAAGGCCAGGGAAAAAATGTAAGATTTTTTTACACGCTGTGGCACGCGAGCAGAGAGACCAAAGCGTTTTGCTAAAAATTCGCAGAAGGAAAGAAAACAACAGAAAAGAAATGTATATACATATACATATATATATAAAAAGAGCGGGGTGAAAAAGGAAAAAAAGTGGAAAAACTGGAAAAGGAGAAGAAGTCGCTGAAGCTCAAAAGGATTTTTTCAGCGTCGCGTCTGCTTTGGGTAGATGGAAAGGGGGCCAAGGGTTTAGAAAACAGACTGGCGAGTTGGTCCGAGTTTTGTCCAGTGAAAGTGCAGGAAAAATCAAGGGAAATGGTGTGCGGACGTAACGAATTGTCCCTGGAATTGAAAAAGGGTTGCTGGCCAAGTCACTGGAAGTGGGTTCGATGAGTTCACCTGACATTCTAGGGTTAAGGTCGTTGTCTTTGGCAGCTGAACTTTGGTTAACTTTCTGGACTGTTTTTCCCAGCAGTTACAAGAAGTCTAGAAACAGAAAACCCTGCTTGGCTAAAATATTATCTAAAACTCTAGAAAGAACTGCAGTAAAATATATATAAAATTAGACAGCAATCCAATTAGGGCTTTCGCTTAATTTTTTTCACAGGCAGCTATCACTCATTTAATTCACTTAGCTCGGCAAGTTTGCTTGCATATTAATTATGAAGCTGCCCTATTGGTCACTGCAACTGCCATTTGCAGAGTCAACTAGAAAAAGTTTTTCTCTTCTCCTCAGATTTTCCTGAAACTTCTCCCTCTTTCCCCCCTGCTTGGCACTTGCTTTATCTAAAGAAAAGTTAGTCCAATGAAAAATAAGAAAAAACTGCAAGACAAACTTTGGACACAAGTCAAAAGTTGGCGCACTGTTAGAAAATAAGGTTGATATTTAGGGAAAATTAAGAAATCAAAGTAAAATCTTACACAAAAATAAGGTAAATTTCTCTCAGTGTGCCAAAGTAACACTACCCTCTCCTATATCTTATAGTATCCAATTCCTAAAGTACTCACATCAACATTGCCATTCCACATATAGTGCATGCCCACGGCACTGGGATCGTGGTGCGTCTGGCCGGTCATGTGCTCGGCCATCACGGCGCTCATCCAATGGACCAAACCCTGGGTGGGATTCTGGCCCTGGACGCTGCCGATCGGCATGTTGGCAGCGGCGGCGGCAGCAGCAGCAGCGGCCACAGCGGCGGCCGTTGAATTTGAATTGGGGTTTTGATGAGAATGGGAATGGGTTTGCGAATGGGTTTGCGACTGGGATTGGGTATGAGTCAGTGTGTGATTGGGATGAGTGTTGGAGTTCGGATTGGAGCTGGAGTTGTTGGGCTGTGGAGGTGAGCCCTGAGTCTCCTGACTTTTGCACGTGGCGGTGGCGGTGACCGCGTCCGGCTCGGACGGTGGTGGTGACTTTATGGAGTTGCCAAAGTTTGGACGCGTCTGTGATGCGGGTTGGGTTTGATTCAAATTAATTGCGGACACTGGAGCTGTCTCGTGGGGCGGTGTGGGTGGTGTGGTTGGATGGTTGTTGATGATTTCGTTGGTGTTGTTGTTGTTGTTATTGCTGCTGCTGGACCAAGAATAGCCACTGTTGTTGTTGTTGTTGTTATTATTGTTGCTGTTGTGGGGTTTCTGGAATGAAAAATGGTTTGTTGTTACTTTTTTTGGTAAAAAAAATTAAGGGGTTTTCGTCAAACATTTGTAAATTTCGTTGGTTAATGTATTGAGAAAAAAAAACAAAAAATGAAATGGTTCTTTAATGACATTCATACCGTGTAGCAAAAGGGGTTTTTTGGGGGTATTTTATATTTTTACAAATGTATGTAAATTGCCCGAATAAAATGAGGTTTTAGCAATTGCATATTTTAAATGTTCAAAATAAATATATATATCGTTAATAAGTTAAAGGTGATTTGCCTTTATATTGTCTTTTTTGGTGAAACATAATTTTAAATACTTAGATATACTTCTTAGCCCTAAAATCAATTAAATATTATAAATATAAATAAATATATTATAAATATAATAATTACAACATTTTACGAATATTAAAAGCTAGTTATTGGTTTTAAATACATATAAACTGTACATTTAATATGATACATTTAAAAATTTTTGAAAAATTGGAAAACATTTTGATTCCTACGAAAATTCAATATTTTGTCAGTTGTTGAACTGTAGAAACACTTTAAATTTAAGAATTCATAAAAAGATACAAAGAATAGCATTAATTAAGAAATAATCTCTATGTATTTAATGCTCTATCCTTTTCCTATTACAAACAGTAACATTATTAATCAAGAAAGAAGTGGAAATTCATAAAATTAATATAAATAAATATTATAAGTAACTTCTACACTTTTTATAAAGTAAAGTGTAAAGTAAAGTATAATACAGATATATGCTTCTATAAACAATACATTTAATCAACAAGCTCAATTATTTCTTCTACCTACAAATCAGAAAGGTTACATTAATATTAATAATTAATATAGTATATAAAGTACTTCCTATCAAGTTGAGATACCAATTTAAGGATAAACTGTTGTAAGTTCCTGTGACAATTAAGCTCTCAATTGTTGGACCTATAATGTCATCCAAGGGTTACAACATATACAGTGAACTTCAATTACACATGAAGTGAGAGTAGACACAGGAAAGGCCCTGTTTTATTTGGGTTCATGTGCATCCCAAAATAATCAAAAGTAAACCCCTTGAAATCCCATTTATGACCCTTCATTAACTTCTTCTCACATGCCCATACTAACATTCTCCTCTCCGGTGTTCAGTTGGATGACAGGCTTTTGGTCCTCTTGTCCGAAATCTTCCTGCTCCGGCTCTGTCTCGTGGTCCTGCTCTTGCTCCAACTCTGTATCCGGCTCCATCTTCACCTGACCATTCTCCATGAGACGGACCGCCGTGGAAAATAACAAATTGCCAGGCGGCTGGGAACGGGATGGTGATGACAATGAATTCGGAGCAGGACTGGGTGACGGCGTTCCGGTATAGAATTTGTTGTGCTTTTGTTGCTGAAGCACGGCGCTGGCGAAGAGGCTTTTGTAGAATTCGGCGGGCATGAGGAAGGGCGGGGGTGCGGCGACTGTGGCGCCGGGTGTGGATGTTCCAAGGGCGGCCATGTAGCTGCCACGCTTCAGCTGATCCTTTAGCGTATCCATGTCCGGATGGCCGTATTTGCCAATGAGTTCGTGCATGACAACAAAACTCGGCTGCCCTCGAATGTAGGCAACGCTTTTTTGTTGTTCTTCCCGCTTGACGATTTCACTTTCGCATGGAATTTTCGTTGAAGGGAAAAGCCCCGGCGCTTACAGCAATTTATCTAACTGAAGCACAGTGTGTTTGATTTTTCCTCCAAAAAAGCACACGTTGAAAATACCGAGAGGGAAACAAAAAGTTTCCAACCAAATCTGATGTCTTTTTATTTTGGCTTAACTTTTATTTCATTTTAGATGGTTTTTTGGGGGGGAGGTGATGGCGTGCACTTCAAAACTTTTTCCGCTTTTACTCTGGTATTTTTTTCACATTTTAGATGCACACCAAATTGAAACAAATAGAAATGATTTGCCACCAGAAACTTGCCACCAACGACCTTGAAAAAGTTTTGCCGGCTGGCAGTTTTCTTTTTTCGATCGTTTTTATTTTCTTTTTTATGAGTTTTATGGTACTCCTCATGATGGACATGTGTAGGGATTCGCTTTTACTTGCATATGTTTGTCCTTTTGTTTTGTTTTGGTTGTCAGTTTGATGTTTTGTTTATTGTTTAGTAAACATTTCCACATCCCTGTCCCTGTCCCTGTCCCTGTGTCTGCGTTTTGATTTATTTGCTCAGATGGTCGGTTTTTGTTTACTTTTCATTTTTGATTGTTTCATTTTGTGGCCGCCGCTTAGGTTTTTTATATATATCCAAAATGGTGGGCGTGGATGGTGTTAAGTTATCCGTCAAATGCAGTATTTTTGTTTTGCTTTGTAAAATGTTTACATATTTGATATTTATTGTTGAATTCTTCATTCGATTTGATTTATATTTTAAATATTTGTTATTTGTTGTTAATTAATTTAAGGACTTATTTATTTATAGGGAGTAGGTAGATGTGACTTATATATTAGTAGTTTGCACTGGGTGATAGGAACTTTCCGTTGCAGTTTAGGTTGATTTATTTGGGAGATTACATTTTATATTATATATTTTTCACATTCATTGAGGAACTTTAGTAGAGATCTTCTGTGTTTTTTCTTTAAGATTACATCATTTAATTAGTTATTCTCTTTGTTATTGTATTATCAAACCATTTGTGTATGCACTGCGAATGAAAATAGTAAATTGTGACATTTGCTATTGTGCCACATCACGTATACGCCGCGTTGAACGACCGGAATATCACGTATACGCCTCTTAAAGTCACAGCTGAATGTTTTCTGCACCTTCATTCAAGACTGATAAGAGAGAGGATTTGTGTGTGTGCGAGTGTGAGCTTCAGGTGTTTGTTAGTTGGTCTCTTGGGTGTGTGTGTGTGTGTGTTTGTCCGCTTGTCCGTCTACGTTTTGATGTCCATTTCCGTTTCCGTTTTCGTCTGCGTCTCCGTCTCCGTCAGCGAGCGTGGGATAACCTGCAACAACTGAGAAGTTTCAACTGGAACTCAAAGTGCAACTGCTAAAGGCGAAAGAAAATGGCGAGCGCGCGCGAATCCTATATACATATATATATACATATATATTTATAGGTATGTGTAAGGGAAAACACACACACAGGAACACATTGTGTGTGCCACTCTTGTGTGTTGTGAATGTTTTGTTGCTTCCCGTAACCTTCCTTCAAGCTCCGTTGCTCTTGCTTCCCGCTGCTCTTGCATTTCTTGTTATATCCGCCCCTTTTTTTTATTTTATAATTTTTTCCCTCCTGCTTTCCCCGGCCTCGATCCCTTTTGTGTACAGTATGCACACTGCCCGTTATAAAGACATACATTTGCAGTTTCAGCGCGCACTGCAGCATTTTCTCGCAAGAAAAACCGAAGAAATGGTAAAAATAGAAATAGAAAATAAAGCTGAATTTGCGAGAGGCTCTGTGTGTGTGTGCCAGATTGATTTTCTTTCTCTTTTTCTACAGTTTGCTCATGTTTGTGATTTTTATTATTTTGATTTTTTCTGCAGGAATATATGTTTGTGTGAAAGAGTGCTTCAGATTTCTTAAGAGGTCCTGTGTGCCTGTTTTTCTTTTTTGTTTAAAAAAGCTGAGTTAGCCGTAGGCGTAGACAAGAATAACAGCGTTTGGCAATTCTTTTCAAATTTGAAAGGGACTTAAGAACGAGGTAAAGCCATATCAGCTTGCTTGAAATTTGAAGAGCTGCTGTGGAAGGACCTAGGTATATCCTGGAGCTAAGCTCATTTGATAGTTGGACTTCAATTAAAAGCATATGTAAACCTTACAGGAATAAGGGTTATAGGAAAAGAGTAGCTTCAAGATTTATATTTAGTTAAATTTTCTTTATTATTTTTCTCATAAATTCAGCTGTCTTAGCTACTTATTTTCCCCAAAAATAGGGCATAGTTTAGAAGGTGGCACTCAAGGATGCATAAAGCAAAGAATAGAGATCCTAGTTATATTGTTTCCTTCAGTGACTTAAGCAGATAAGTAAAGATGAGCTAACAGTAAGTTCTGCGGCGGCGTATACGTAATATTTATAAACCAAACATTATTATATTGGTTAGCGATTGAAGATAGCACTCAAGGATGCATAAAACAAAGAGTAAAAGTCCAAGCTATATTACAGACTACAGCAAATGACTAAAGATGCGCTAACAGATAGTTCTATGGTTGCGTATACGTAATATTTATAAGGCTAACATCATGGACTTCATACTGGATGCATAAGGCAAAGAATATATCTCCTAGCTTTATTATTTCCTTTAGAGACTTGAGCAGATGATTAAAGATGCAAAAAAAAATAGTTTTACGGTGGCGTATACGTAATATTTATAAGGCTAACATCATGGACTTCATACTGGCTAGAGATTGAAAGAGACGCTCAATGGTTAAGAGTAAGAGTACTAGCTATATTATTTTCCCCACAGACTTAGGCAGATGAGTAAAGATGCGACAAGAGATAGTTCTACGGTGGCGTATACGTGATATTTATAAACCTAGCATTATAAACCTTATATTGATTAAGATGCATAAAGCAAAGAGTAAAAGTCCCAGCTATATTATTTGCTTCACAGATTTAAGCAGATAAGTCAAAATTCGATAACAGAAAGTTCTGCTGTGGCGTATACGTAATATTTTTAAGGCTAACACTATGAACATCATATAGGCTGGCGTTCCCTTCCCTCCCCTTGAGACTATTAGCAACTTTAGTTCTAATTGTAGTTCTGCAGTCCTGTCTATGGTGTATGTGGCGCCATCTGTCCTCCAGTGGCCGCTAAAGAAACAGGACACTGAGACGGATACGGGCACGGGCACGGGCAAGGATACGGATGCGGACGCGAGCGCGGCACCGCGACCAATAGATTTGGCCAAGCCCGAGCGAACTGAAGACAACGACGGCTGCAGTCCCGCCAAAGGCAACAAACTCTTGCCACATGCAACAGTCGCAGCTGCTGCTACGCCGCTGAGACGCCGACTGAGGCAGCAACAGAGGCAGCAGCTGCTGGGAAAAAGGAAAACAGACAGAGGCGGAAGCAAGCTCCGGCGACTTATGGCCATGTTTGTTGTACGGGTAAGTAGCAGCAGGACCAGCAGAAGCCGGAGCCGGAGCAGCGAAATGGCGCGCGCGAAAAGGAAACTCAAGAAGTAGAGCTCGGAAAAGCAGGAGCAGTAACAAACACACACACACAGACACACACGCGAACATAAAAAAAGCCAAGTAAAATGGTATTTTTTCTTGCACATGAAGCAAAAAATGCCAGCAAACTGAAAGAAATACATTGCAGGCGTCGAGCAAAAAACGAAATAATAACAAAAAGTTGTAAAAGAAAAGCGAAACCGTGTGATGTCCTGACACACACACACACACACACACACACATAGAGAGACACACACTCGTACCGATGCCAGCAGAGGAAAACGCGGCGACGACACATCGAAGAAAGGACGAAAACACTCAGTGCTGTTTGCGTCGCAGTCGACGTTGCAGTCTCGGCCAGCGTCGCTGCCTTGGCCATATCCGTAGATATAGCCAGAGCTATAGCGTCCTGCTGAGCGTCCTCCTGGCCCCGTTAACATTTCACGAGCGCCAATTTCTTTTCCTTCATTTTGTTTATATTATTTCCCTTTTTTCCTTCATTTTTTTTCTTCCTCTCAGCTGAAGTCCGTTGTTGTGCTTGCCGCTGCGCTTGCCGTGCAATTTCTCGGAATGTTTTTCTATTATCCGCTGCAATTTTTCTCCCTTTAAATGGAAACTGCGTCTGTAAGGGAGAGTATCCTTCAAGTATTATATATTCCAAAGGCGAAACAAGATCGAGGCTACAATGGAGAAGTATCGGGGATTGAACTTTGATTAGGTTCTCTTGTATAATTAAGAGTTATCATTGATCTTGGGAATAAAGGATCCTTAACGTATTGCCTTTCAATACTAATTAAATTTGAATAGTATAAAAATATTTTTAATTTTGATATAAACATAAACTCCACAATAATGACAAGAACCATCTAAAAACATTATAATTTATATAAAAAATACTGCATATTTCAATGTCATGATCTATATTTAAAAGTTATATTATTTTATAAATAAACTTATCTAATAATAATGTTACACATAATTATTAGTTATGTTTAAAAGTAAGAGTAGTAAGAGCTTTCTTATTTAATATTAATAATTTAATATATAATATATAATTTAATAAGCCTTTTAAATTCCTTTTTTTTTAAGTTACTATAGTGACAGCTTTTGTTATTTATATACCACAATCATTGTTTGTCTTCCCACCATGAGTTTATTTTCCCACGCCATTTGCTTGACCTTACACTTTGCCCTTCCTCCATATATTTCTTCTGGGAGATTTCAAAACTATATTAAGATTACTTTCTGGCAATGCTCTTCTAAGCCGATTTGCTTAAGAAGAAATACGACGGACAACAATAAACTGAGTGCTTGTACCACTGCCACCCACCACCAACAACAACAACAACAACAAAATCAAAGTGCAGCAGTTGCACTTGCAGCAGCAGAAGCAGCAGCAGCAGCAGTGCAGTTGACGTCGCTGTTGACGTTGCGCGAACAGCGGGCAGAAGGACCCTCGTTCCCAAAACTAAATCCTGTCCAGGAGCATATGTTTTTATGTGCAAGTGATGCTGGGTTGCCTGCATGTTTTCCTTTTATGTTCAAGGATTTTCCAGTTGCCCTTTGCTGGCAGTCCACAAATACTTGGTGGGGTCCTTAAGCGTGTATTTACTTCAGGGAGGGGGTACGAAAAAGGGAAGGGCGGGGATGGGTTTTCCTGATAAGCACAAAACAAACGTGCGTTCATTTTGCATTGGGAAAATGCAGGAGCAGTATATGATAAAGGTCCGAAGGATATCCTTCATATTAGGGAAAACTAATTAAATGCTCTTTAATAAAGATAATTAATCATTTGAATAACATTTGTTAGTGTCAAAAACTAAAAAATATAATAAACCATTAAGTATTTATAATTTTGTGTAACTTAAAAAATCTAATAACGTCAGAAGTAATCCCTTATTTCAACTATATTGCTGTAAATTATTATATTACTAATATAGAAAAGTTACTTTGCAGAAATTACTCTCGATTTTATAGTAATAATTATCAAAATCTTATTGATATTAATCAGATATTTATAATATTAAATAAACCATCAACAAGTGTCTAATGAAGTCCTTAATCTTCTTCAGCCCTTTATGCACCTGTTGAATGTCCTTTCTTTGCCTTGAAGTCACTTGGGGAGTCATCAAGTCAATTGCCATTAGACTGCGAAAAGCTTTGAAAGCCAGGACAATTAAGGCGTATATCCTGTTCACGAACCAAACCAGCAAAAAGTATCCTTTCGCCCCCATAAAAAGCCAAGCATGGCAAGAGCTTGAGCCTTTTACCCCCGAAAAAACACTCGAAAGCACGGGCTCTCTTACTTTCCCCCCAAAAAAAGAGAGAACGGTAGAGAGAGTGCTCTTTTACGCTCTCTTCGTGTTGGGGGCGTGTTTGTTTTCGTGTTTTTTCTTCTACTCTCTTGCCACTTGTGTGTGCCGCTTTTTGCCCCGTTTGGCTTTTAAGTGTTATTGGATGATTTTATGGAAATTGATTTGGAGCACGCCCACTTTCCCGGGGTTGCGTGAAGCGAGTGGAGCCAGGGGAGAGAAAACAAGTGCAGCAGCTGCTCCAATGGGAACGCTAACCAATAATTTGACATAATAACATTATCCATACACTGAAATAAAATTAAGGTTTCATAGGCTTGACCATCTAAAGGGATCTGCTTTGAGAGACTTAAATTAAGAATATATAATATGGAAAGAAATTTAACTTAATTTGTGGAAATTGAATCATTCTTAATTTATTAGTTAATTCTGTGATAGCTGATGAAGTCTGATTCTTGGGTGCTTTGCTACTTCATCAGCTTAAATTTTAATATTAAATATATCTTATAAAGATAATACTCTTCTAATAATAACGAAGTTTCTGGCTTTTCTTTTCACTTCAGCTGTATATTCATTTTTCACTATCTTACCACAACATTTTCTAAATTAAACATTCCTTTGTATACCCTTGTAGAGAATTATAATTTCTGTCTGAACCTTAAAATGCCTTCAAAGCATAGCATATCCGCCCTATAAACGAAATATATTATTAATTGGAATTGTCAAAAATGCATATAACATTTTAATTTTTAAATCATTAAATACATTACACAGGTTTGTTTGTTGAAACTAGCATTGAAAAGCTTTCCGAATTAAAATTAATTTAATTTAATTTTTGGTATACATAGTCGGTTTCCCAATGTTTGTCTTTTTTCCCTTCTTGTTTATTATTTTTATATTATTTATGCTATATTTACAAAAGCATTACAAAACAATGCAAATTGAAAAATTAATTACGTTTAAATTACTTCCGCAATGATTATATTTGTTCAGATGAACAGCTGACCCACAATTTAATTACCATCAAGGTTGTTGTATGTGTTGATTTTCCCATTTATATAGATTTGATTAATTATATTTGAATAATTATATTACTTTATATTTCAGCACTTGAGTATTTTTAGCAATACATTTTTTCTCATAACTGTAATTTAATATTAATTTTAACTGTATTTTGTCGAGAAAACAAATTTTTTCTAAATGAAAGTTTTGTGCTAGGAACAAATACTTCCGAAATAATCGGCCAAGTCACGCAAAAGGAAATCGAGCTAATTCGAAAAAGCTTCCGGCAGGATTAGGGATATTAATCTAATAATATTTTGTTCCCTTAACTCTTGGTTAGATAATCTTAACATAACATTTGTTTTTTATTAATAAACTTTCTTAATAGATTTTCTTAGGGCCTGCTCATAGACCTAATTTGAACTCTAAGGAGAAGTGGTTTAGAATTCGTAAAACAAATGTGTGAACCATAATTTAATTTTTCTGGAATAATGGTATGCTTCTTAGAATTATCTTTATATTACTAATATTAATTGGTAATAAATTCCTTTAAATATATTCTGCTGCATTTCAATACGTGGGGAAAAACTCTCTATACACATTCATAGCCATCAATTTCTTTTCTGGTTGCTGTTGCTACTATTTTTGTGAGCAATTGTATATATCATATATATCAACAAATTGAACTTTTCATATACATATACTTATGTTTTTAAATATTTTAATTTATTATATAAGGCAAGGGATGTTAATCGTTGTACTCACCCGAAATGTATGCTCCACGGAGCAATCCAGGCTCAGCGCGTAGTCCTCGACGACGACTCCTAGTGAGGATGCAGCTGGTTCGCTGAATACCTGTTCGATCTTGATGGGCGGACTGGACAACAGGGGCGTGGCACTAGCTCCTCCGACGGCAGCGGCAGTAGCAGCAGCAGCAGCAGCAGCTGCAGCGGCGGCGGCAAAGGATCCTTCGACACTTATAGGTGACCCGTGGCCTCCACTTTGACAGACGGAGAGCGAGACTGGAATTGGGATCTGACCTGGACCATTGCAGGGCGTTGATGGGGCCGGGCAGGGACTGGGCGTGGCCGGACCCTGGACATGGCCATCGTGATAGGGTGTCACAACAAAGGAGGGGTACGAGCGGAACTGGTGATAGTCGCTGTGATTGTGACCGTGACTGTGGGTGCTGCCGTGAGGATGATGCGCCAACTGAGGTCCCTTGTACCAGGTACCATGCATAATCATTTAAGCACCTTCGGTATCTCTGGAATTCACTTTGTTGGGGCACTCAAAGAAGGTTTCTTTCACTTAGCTAATGCCTTTGATTTAAGTAGTTTTATTAATTGGGTTTTTATTTTAAATATTTATATCACTTTCTCTAACAAACACCTGAAGAAAATGTTCAAATGGTTAATTGGCATTGATAACATTTTAAAACTAAAACTACTTTGAGTTCAATAAACATAGTAAGACCAAAGAATAACAAGTTGAAATCAATCAAGTAATTATGCAAATTTTGAGATTTTATGAAATTTTTCATATTCAGCGATAATTAATACAATAATTAGTATATTTTTGCTATATAATAATATATTAAAATATCTAAAGTTAGAAAAATCGACAATTAAAACATCGCTTTCTTTGGCATAAACTTGGAAGGAAATACATTTTTCAATTGGAAATTATTGTATCCTTTTCTTCCATATTTCAATTAGAAATTTTTAAGATAAATTAACAAATTTTATAGTTTACAATAGACTTTATATAGTTTTATGTATTTTTATATATTTTAAGTTATAGTTTTGTGTTACCATTTAACCATTTGACATTTGCACTTAACATTGCTTTAGGAAAAGCTTTAGATTAATCCTATATTCCGATAATATTCGTTTTTAGCACTTTTACACTTCGATATTTATCGATATTCGTTCCACACACACATCAGCATTCACTTGATCCGCGCTCAGCTGATCGTGATCGACCATTAACGTAATTATTTAAGAATGCACCGAAACACGTTTATTGCTGCCTCGAATGCGTTGACACTTGGCCAATTCGGAACCCTTTCTGCACGGGTGGGGGTCGGGGTGTGTTGTGTTGTTGTGATCGCAATTTGCAACTGCACTCGGGGCTCGATTTTTTAATTGTGATACAGCTGCACTCGCGGAATGGCGAAAATGCATTGCACTTGCGACAGAACACGGAATTCCTGGCAAAAAGACGCGAATGCGAACTGAAAGCCGAAACCAGAACTGCAGCGGAGTGCACTTGGCTGGAACGCGCGCGCGAAAGTGGACAGTGGCCGGCCAGTTGGGTTTGGGCCAGGCTTAATTCGGCTGCTGGTGCTGGCTGGTGCTGACTACGGGCTACTACTGACTTGGCGAGCAGCGGCAAAAAAGTTGCTGCCAAGCTCGCAAGAATTCCGAACTCGAATGCTGGCAGCGGTCACGAAAAAAAGCATTCAAATGCCTTGCCACTCGCGCCAAATCGCAGCGAGAGCTGTCTCTCTCTCTGTCTCACATTAGCTTAAGCATCACTCTCTCTCGCTTGCTCTCGTGTGGGGGAGAGGCTTTGGGGCAGACGGCGACGCCTGCGCAGCAGCTTTTTTGCTCTTTTTGCTCTGCTCCACCGTTGTCTTCGAGAAGGGGGGAGACAAAAAACTAGTTCGCTCGCTCCCTCTCTTAATCCCACTGTTCTCTCTCTCTCTCTCATGCTCTCTCTCTCTTTTTGTTGCTCCACAAAAAAAATTGTTTGTGGTTTTTCTCCTGCTTCCCCTGCTTTTTGCCGGCTCTGCTGCTGCGTCGTCTCTTGAGCAACTTTGATTTGATTTCAGGCTTTTTGCTTGAGTGGCTTTTCTTTTCTCTTGACTTTGAGCATGAATGAGCATATTGCATGTGTTGCACGGCGAGTGCTGCGTCCGTTTTTTATGGCTAAATCTTTATGGAAAAAATACGGGGGCGTTATAATGACTAAAAATGAAAGTTTACATCCGTCAATGGAGGCAAGATCAATGAATTAATCAATAATAAGATGGTGATTTATAAGCAATCACTCAATGAACAGTAACGGTTTAATTTGATTTTAATTTTTCTATTCAGGAATTTGATTTTAAATAAGAGTAGTGAACTATTTTTAAAAATAAGTAATTATTTTATTTCCTATTAGAGTTATATTAAATCATTTTTAAAAAGACGAAACATTTTTAAATTGACTTTTAACATTTCAAAGGAAATATACTAATAAAACTATTGATTAATGCTACAACATAATAATAATCTATAAACATAAAACAATGAGAAAATATTTCTTATATTTAAAATACTTTTTTTAACAAACTTGATCCAAAAAAATTACTTAAGCTTTAAAATATTTATAAATAAGTTCCGAATTATATAATTTATAAATTATAAAATATATGAGATGTAAAGAAAAGACACTCGAGTCATTATTGGTAGTTGTTGAGTTATTGTTGATATGTTGTTGTGTTATTCTCAATATGTTGTTAAGCTGTTGTGATTATGTTGTTGATTTGTTGAAATGTTATTGAATTCGCTGTTGAGCTAGCGTTAGCATTTGTTTTGGTTTTGTTGTTAAATTAAAATTGAATTGTAGTTGAGTTATAATAAAAGTTTCCTTAAATTGTTCTAGAATAGTTAAATAATCAATGGTGCCATTGCATATTTTGCTTTCGAATCCACATTTTCTTTCAATTTCCCATCTCTGAATACCAATCTTGAAGGTGAAATAAACTCGTGTTTAATATCTTCTTTCCGATCCCAAATGCATAATTTTCCGCAAAAGATAAAGCACACAAACACTCACAAAAAAAAGGCCGCATCCGTCGACCATTAGCCCATTGACCAACTTCGATGCCGCAGCACCAACGCGTAGTAATGAGTTTTTAATACATGTAATATTCAAATTAAAAATCCGCAAAAAACTACCAAAGTCGGCGAAGTCGACTAACAAAAAGCGAAATACACTTTTTGTGGCTAATAATCGCACATATTCATTTCAGGCGGCGGCACTGAAAAAATTTCACTCATACGCAGTGTGAGCCAAGCTCAAGAGCAATCGGGGAAAAAGTGGCGAGTCGCTCTTAGAAAAAGAAAAACGAAGCAAAACGAAGCTAAGCTGGAGAGAGAGTGCGGGACAGAGAGGGCGTGAGTGTGCGAGCAGGGCGGCATGCAGGCGAAGGCGGTGGAATTTTTATTGGAGCACTTGGTTTATTTCTTTTTTCGCTGCTCGCCTCTCGATTGGCATCGTTTTTTGCCAGTATTTCTCCTTTTTTTTCCTCTCTTGTTTTAATTTTTTTTGTTGTGTTTTCTTTTTTTTAGTTTGGACTTCTGACAAGGCATTTTTTATGGGCTCGGACATGTGTCGCAGTCGACGGCGGGTGGGAAAAAGACAGCAGCAAAAGCAGATTTTTGGCTCAGTTCGGTTCTTTGACAACTGCAACTGCAACTGCAGCCATTCCTCGGGGGAAAAAGGTCGAAATAAATGAAATTAAAATGCAAGTGCTGCATGGGAAGGCCGTTTATTTAGTTAATCAATGCAATTGGGCCCATCCCACCTGGGGGACGTAGAACTTAACGTAAAGGCACAGGAAAAAATAAAGAAAAATGTCTTGATTTGGAAAAAAATTAAACAGAAAATAAATAAATTAAGATGATTAAAAACCAGAAAATTACTAAATTAGTTAAGAGAAAAGGTTATATATTCAAAAACTACTATTAGTTTTCTGACAAGATCTTGTCATAAACAATAAAAAATCATCACCTTTTTAAGAGAAACAAGAATGCAAACTTGTCATAAATTATTAAATTGTAATAAACATAATAAGCGGATCTAAAAATTATAAAATTCTAATGCGTATTGGTTTTGTTATACCCTTCTAGGGTATTATAATTTCAGTAAGATATTGGACGTTAAATAAAAGTGAAAAAAAACGTATAGAATTCGTTTTAGTTTCAGAATTAAAAGCCCAATCGATCAAGCTATAAGAATTTATTTTTTTTTTTAATTTCAAAATTTTAAAAATTTTATAAGGGTTTACATCGTTAAAATAAAAAAAATTGCATAAAAAATGTCAATTTTGTACACTTTAAACTGAGTATACCGTTTTGTTAACCTTAAAACGCTCTTCGAACTGAAATAAATGTAGTTTTGGCTTAGTATGATTAAACTGCAAGGGTATACCAACTTCGGCTTTCCGAAGTTAGGTTCTTATTTACATCTTGTTAGTATTGATTGATATAAATGTAAAAGGAATTTCGTAATAATAATTTCATAAGAATTAATTAATAATCCCATTTTTTATCATCATAAGACAATAAAAATAAACAGCTTAAATTAATATAGTAAGCTTTACTAGAAGTATATTAATTATTAGTTCTAAATAATATAATTATATGAATCATTGATGAATAAACCAAATTTTAGGCTAAGAGCTCTTGGATTTATAATAATAGAGTATTTAAAATATTTTTTAAAATTTTAAATAAATATTAAATTGATAAATAAATCCTTATTGCAAGCCATTGAAACTGTTTTTCTTTTTCTTGGAAAACAGTTTTTTCAGTGCATATAAATGCTGTATGTCAAATATGTTTCCTTTCTTATAAGAATGTTGCTGACTTTTACATGCTCGAATCACTAGGAAATTGCTTCATTTAGCAACAGAACTGGTCAGTCTTTGGCCGGCGGTGAATTTAATGTCCAGCAGTTTCCCTTTCAGTTTATCAGCTAATTTGATTATTTCACCTAATTGCCCGCCCGCTGCAATTACATATTTTTTATGATCCCTCATTTGTCGAGGTCTCATTTTTTTATGGGCTTTTCGTGCTGCTTTTCATTTAGTTGAGTGCAATACGAATTTGTTATCGGCTTTCGACTGTCGCCGCCCTTGTTTGCATTGTCATCAGAGCCATTTTGTATTTGCATAAAAGGCAGCCATTTTCCACGATTCCATGGAGATAAGCCCGACTCTGATGAGCCTCACATATATTTCAATAATATAGTTGTCTTGTTTACTTAGTTTTTGTTTATAGAAGATGTATAGGAAATTAGTGATTATTTCCTTGGAGGGTATTATAATTAAACTCAAAATTGTGTAATTACTGCCTTACAGGAGTTGTCTTCCTTTTTGATTGTAAAATATAACAATTCTCTCTGCATTATATACATTTTTGGAAGAAGTTAAACTGACAAAAAAATATATAATAGCAACAACTTTTATAATATAGGCAATTAATCCGTCTTGATTGTCTTAACTATAGCCCAATGGTGGTAGTAATTTTTCATTATAAACATTTAGTGTACTGTTTTAAACAAATACTTATATTATCTTCCGTATATTTATAAACGTCAATAAGGCATTGACTAACTTTTGATTGCGTTCATAAAAAAGCGTATTAAAATGTAATCCCATTAATCTTATAAGTTTGTTTGAAATGTATTTTAATTAAGTGATACTTATTTTTTTATACATATGAGCAATTTGTAGAGTTATGAACACTGTTTTGTAAACTATAAAAGTGAAAACTTTTAATCAACTGAATTACTTAGAATAGGTTTTTTGGTTTCAACTGCCTTCTCTATCATTCTTATCAAAAAAACAAATTTTTATTGTTATATTTAAAATGAAGTCGTGTATTTAATTGAATTAAATGTATTTTTTAAAGGCTTTGGATAGTTTGGGTAGCATTATATTTATATTTTATTATGATAATCAATTTCTAATTTCCAATGCTTTATGATTAAATAGAAAAACGATTAGTTATTCCTCTAAAAAATAATTTTAAGGAAAGCACAGGTTTGTTTTCTTCCTATGATGAACAAAAAATGTTTTAATATGTATTCTCTTTGTATGACAAGTCTTTGTTTCATAACAAATATCTATTCTCCTTCTCTTCTTCTTCTTTTAGGTGTTTAAGAACTAGAATTTAACACAACATCTTAAACAAATTGGTTTTAGATATATTCCTCAAGCAAACTTATAGGTAGAAACCTATTAAAAATGCACAGACACGTAAAGTTTGGCAGTGGCACCGCAATGCAAAATCCGCATCCACAGCTGCATGATGGGGCAAAATGATTGCCACAAAACCGCAGCGGGACAGATAACTGATGCGGCAGCTCCTGCTCCTGCTCCGGCAGCATCTGCAGTGCGGCGCCACAAACTCCAGAGGCCACGGAGCGAGATGTCAGAATGCGGGAGCAGAGGTGGTTTGGTTTGCCAGAAGCCAGAAGCCAGAGCCCAGGAGCTTGGATAGCCGTCATGCTTGGTCATGGACGCCAAATGGTTGACAGACTCTCCCGGACAGCTGCAATGGCGCAGGGGCAGGGTTTGGCCCGATGGCCTGATGGCCTGTCTCTGGGCCCAAAGGGCGACCGACCGCGTTGCATCGAGGGTCCGGAGAGGCCCCGCCTCTTGGTCAAAATGCTTTTTGCCCATTGGTCAGAACGGGTTGGCCAACGGGCGACAGAGCGAGACAACAGGGCGCATGAGCGATAATTGCAGCGAGCGGAATGGTGGCCCGAAAGAGATAGAGAGTATGTGGCAAGTAAGAGGAAAAGAGATAGCAAAGGCTTAAGAGCGGGCTTTGAGCCAAAGTCTGGACTCTGCTCTCTCTCTCTCTCTTTGGGCCATACTCTCTGGGCCAATTCTGCAACACGTGTTGGCGTGTTGGCCTGCGTGCAAAATAGCCGAGTTTTTCTTTTCGCCTTTTTTTCCAGCCGCTCATCCGACGCGTATTTTGTTAATTTAATTAAACAAAAACGTTTTGTTTGTGTTTTTTTCGCTTGCCATTGTTGGCCAAATGCTTTTTGCTTGTCGTCCAGCACACAAAATGAAATTGGAATCGCGCTCGTGCACAACTTTGAATATGTTGAGCTCTCTCAAATTGCAGTTGTCGATTCGATATTTGCGCCCGTCTGCTGTGACATTTTTTTGTTGTTGTTGTTTTTTGTGGCTGCCACAAACATGTTGTATTTGCCGTTTAATGACTTGGCCCGTTAAATTTTAAATTGAAATATCACACATTGGGCCACGGCAATGGCAAATGTAATTGGCAGAGTGCTTTCTGCAGGGCTTTATGGGATTTGTTTTCTTTGGGACATAATATAGAAATCTTAAATAAGCTCTCAGTTTATATAAAAGCTTAAATAATAACTAAAACCATTTTAGTACATGAGGATTACATCAAATTTAAACAGGAATTTATTAAGCCCCTGTTCCTATATTTAATACTATTAAATGCTTTAAAATTCCCTTAAAATCCTAACTCTCCTAATATTTCCCCGAATATTTATGCTCTAGATTTCTATATACCTTCTATTATTATTATTTTTTTTTTTTCTTTATACAATTTAAACTCATTGCCTTTCTCCCCAAGTATCGGAAGATAAGAACATAAATAATGTGCCTTAAGCAAACTAGGTTAATATCCAAAAAATACAAGATAGTAACCAATTTAAAAACGGAAGCAAAAAACTGACTCTAATTCAGAACTCGCATGTTTGTTGGCCAACATTTCAAACCCGAGAAAGTCGTAAAGCTTCCGCACGTGACTTCCGCGGCAATTGTCGACTTGGCCATTGGATGATGGGTCCAGAGTTTCCACTCCAAGGTGCTCTCCCTCTCTCTTGGCCATCTTCGACTGACAGCCTGAAAAGTTAACGATTGCAGCGGTAATTGGAGCCAAGTTGAGGCGTAGGCGATTAAAAGGTGATTATTTCAATTGTGGCCAAAGGAAATAATGATGCAGCCGACGGATGGATGGATGGATGGATGGATGCTGTGATGGAAGATGCTGTCACCTGTCAACGAATTCGGCTTAGCTGTTATGTTAATGCGCCAAAACCGTTGACATTTATTGGCAGTTATTTATGGCGGACACTTCGCGCAGACTCTCCCATTTTTGGGTGCGGGCCTTTTCGGAGACCAACGCTGCCCGACTATGGAAAACTCTGTAATTGTGCAGGTGACAACGCGACTGGCACGCGCGCTCTGATGCTGACGCTGATTAGACGCACTTGCACTTGCACCTGCACTTTGTGTGTCTTTGCAGATACTTCATCTGGAGTCACGCTCGTTTGTCCGCTGGCATATGACCATAAAGATGTTATTAATTATGACAATATTGGAGTAAAAGTGTTTGCTGCAAGTCAATGTCCCAGGAAGGAGTACTGAGACACTCCCTCGAGGATATCCTGACTAGAACTTGGAGACAATGCAGAATTGTACAGTGGTAAGCAAATGAATAGAATACTATTTTTTATAAGTTAGAATCTTGGAATTTTAAGTCTAATTTATAATATATTATTCCATTATTCTTTCGCACTCTATTAAAAAATAAAGTCATTCATTCTATTAGTATGAAACGCACTGTATGCCTACTTTACACCTGTGAGATTTGTTTGTGAGATGCTTGACTAATGAGTTTATTAGTATTTATATGGTCATCTCTCTAGAGCTCTCAGCGAGGTTCTATATATTCAAATGAAAATCTACTTTTCTGTCCTGGATCGCAACGAATTTCCAGGAAGCCCCTATATCAAGGAGGCACGTGTCATTCCTGGATCTCTCTGATGAGATGTCCATATTGGATGGGTGTTCGATTTGTCACAGCATCCCAAAATTGGGCATTCAATGCTGGACTTGGGTCTTGTGAAAATATTTAATGTCACAGCTGAGAATGCCATTCACATCATACTTTCATTTAGAACTTCTACTAAGAAAATCTTTTTAATTAACAAATAAAGCACTAAAATATGATTGTTTCAATTTTAATTCACAACTCGTCTCTTGTTCGATTGATCAAGGTATAGCGATGCTTGGAGGGCATCAGATCCTTGAACTTGGACTCGTGGACAACCGGCGGGCTAACATCTACTTCTTCGGTTGTGTTATTCTTTTCTTCGTCGAAATCAACGTCCATGTGATAATCCAAGTGGAGTTGTCCACTATACAGATCCTCAATAAACTTTTTCAAGACTCCCGGCTTGTGAATATCCGCGAATTTCGGAAAGACATACATATGCTGGAAGGAATCAATGGCAATCAATGGTAGATCGGCCTTTGTTTTTCCCATGTGAAATAGTGGATGAGCAAAGCGAGCTCCATCGGCAGTCAGAAAGTTAATCCTATTTTCATCCGCGAATTCGCTCTGGATCACGGTCTTGAACTCTCGGACAGGATCCATATTGTTCTTGTCGTAAAAGGCCAGGAGGAGGGGCAGCCCCTCCTCCGTGACCTCCTCGGCATTTTCAAAGGTTATCTCTCGCACCAAAGGCATACACTTCACAGTCGTCCAGTACAGCAATTCTTGGATGCTGGTCATGTTGCCCGAGTACTCACTGTAGTACTCCTTGTGATTAATGCTCGAGGAGTCAGCACGGAAGATGAGCAGATTCTTTCCAGGTGGATGTAGGTCTTTGCTCACCTCACCGAAGCCCACCATGAACCTGTGACATTTACTTAAAGGTTAATTTTTCGAATAAAAAAAGAACACCTAACTGACCTGCAGTGGTCGCGCAAAACTCTCGCTGTCCTGCGGTAGCTCAGGTACTCCTCATCATCCTTGGACATAAAATAGCCAATGACCAGGCCATCTGCCACCTCGTCCTGCAGTTCACTGATATTGTGGAACTCCTTGATGGGATCCGATAGCTCTCGCTCCACAAACTCAACAAAAGCCTCGACCGATCTCTGTCCCCGGTATTCCTCCCTATGGATTACTCCGCCCCTGGTCACCTTCAGTGTGGGGTACTTGATAATATTGAACATATTGGCTAGTTCCATTTCAGTGTCACAATTGACCCTGCCTAGGATCACACGTCCATCTTCGGGGAACTTCTCGCGTACCTTGGCCGCCGCCTCTTCGAAAATGGGTTCCAGCAATTTGCTGAAACGGCACCAATCCACATAAAAGGTGAGCAGCACCAAGTCATTGGATTTGATAATGTCTCCATAGTTTTCTTGGGTAACCACCACCGAAGAGCTTTCAGTGACTGGGAAGAGTTGACAGCATATAATTGCAAGCCGGATGAGGAAATTCCAACTACCGATCACCTTCATTTTCTTAATGCGACTAATGTCATTGATGGTTTTTGTTGCAAGTAAATTATTAAATTTGTGTTATGAAATTGCAATTTACACGGTGTAATTAAAGGATTTGTTTCGGTAAGGGAACTTGCTTAAATATATGGTTTTAAAGTCAATAACACTATAAACTTTTGTGCTTAAAGAGTTCTTAGAATATTTCTGATATATTTCTTTAAATAATCGATTACATCAGATAGTTTCATTGTGAGAAACCTTAATTGTGTATAAGATATACTGCTTAAACTATAAATATAGTATTTAGTTACACTTTAAACCTTTGTACTAAAAACATTTATAAACAGTTTCAAAAATAAATTCCATTGCCAAATACATGTTCTTATAGATGAGATACTTTTTCGATGCTAATGATGCGTCATGGTTGTGGGACTGTGTCTGGGCATTGAGACGAATTTCCAGCAGACAATTTGGCAAGCTGTCAACGCCACTCACAGTTAAAGGGGGCGTGGCAGCTGGGCGATTTCAAGGGGGCGAAGGACTTCGACAACTCACAGCTAATGATTGTCTGTGAACCGTTAGCCAGGCAAGGACATCAATCAATCTGAGAGCTGAGGGCGAAACCACCCTCCTGGGAGAACTCATCCCCTCCCCCAAAGCCTGTGGCCTGCTCAAGTTAAATAAATAAACAAACTTATAAACTCATTCAAATCATATTTAAAAATCATCGCAGAAGCAGCAAAAGAGGCAGCAGCAGCAGCAACAGCTTGCCCATTCATGAATTATTAGTTGAAGCTTATCAAACGTGACCAAAATCGGAACGGAAAAGTTAATGAAAAAAAAGAGCAGCTGTTGCTGCTGCTAAGGGCTCGGGCAAGTGTGAAAAATCAACAAAAAAAAACGAGAGGAAAGTCCTGAGGAAAACCGTGACTGCTGCCCCACAAGAGGAGACTGGAAAGTCCGGCCTGGCTCACACATGTGCTGCGTTATTATCTTTTGGCCTGACCGCAGGACGTGTCAACTTGCGGCTCCATCTATGCTCCTCATATAAATCAGGCTAAGAAAAACCCTGCCAAGCTGCTTATAAATTTTTCAGCAATTCTTACACAATTCCTCTTTATTCTCCATGCAGAAAAGCAGCTTATTGACAGGCCAAGCGTCTCGTCTCGTTCGTCCTTAGTTGTGGTCAGTAAGGACTTGGCCGTCTTTAAGGCGAGGCCTTTAAACTCTGCATTGGGTCGGGACTCCGCCCAAGTGTTTTGGGCCATGACTGCCACGGCAAGGTGACGTAATTATAGATGTACTTCGACTGCCTTCCAGCCAAAGTGCAATGGACGCGGCCGAAAAGCAACCCCTTTTGCATGCAGCGGACGTCTGACAAAGCAACTCGCCACAGGAGCTGGTGTTCTGCTGCGAAATTCTAAATTCCAAATGCTAAATGCTAAATGGCAAAGGATAACAAAGTCAAGGTAGGAGTGCTGAAAGGCAAGAGGGTTGACATGGCCAAAAAACCTGGGAAGCCAAGTGGGCGTAAACGTAGACGCCAAGCGGTTGCTTCATAATTGTCAAGGGTATGGGTATCTTTGCAGTGTGTTGTCAACAATAATAGCCAAGTAATGAAATTTATACTAAGAAATAGCTAAGAAATGTACAATTTTAGAGAGTATTACAATGCAAAATTTCATAGGAAATGTGTCTTGTAGAAATTCTTAAAGAAACTGACAGAAGACTAATCCTAAAATATATATTATAAACTATTGAGAGTTCTACTTATTCTCCGAAAAGAAAGCAGAAATTTTAAGAGGTTTCTAAAGGTACATAAATTAATCTATGTATAATATACATAAATCCTTTTCTTTAAATATTTGAATTTATTACTATATCTTATTCTTCAAGCAATCTTACAACCAAATTGGCAACACTGAGTGTATCTGGGGGATACCCCTTATACCAGTTGGCAAGAGTTGAATTGTCGCAATTTGGTATCTTGTAATCTGGCAGCTACAAGACGCTGCGACACATTAGCATAAAATCATGATTAAGATACGGCAACACTCTCCGGGCAGTGCGTATCCGTATCTATGCTCTAATGGGCCCCAAGTATCTTGTAAGTAATTAACGCACACAAGACTGGCGTAAATCAAGGTTATCTGAAAGCGATTCTAAAAGCCTTTTGGTGAAAAATTGCACTGCGGACATGAGAGTTTGCTTAAAATGCAATTTGTTGGGACATTCTTTTGTTTTTCCACAGTTATTCTTATCCTTAAGGTTCACTTTCTTTCTTTTCGGCTAGACATTTCCGTTTGACGCAGTTTCTGCAGGTTTTTGGGTGGAAAAGTGTCATTAGCATTGATTAATTCGTACCGCGATTTGCATGGGAAAACAATCAATCAACACGTCCTGCTCGTCCTCCATTAGTCAATCTTGAGATTGAGATTGAGATGCACAGCGCCGCCACTTGAACTCGTCGAGAGTGTCCTGTCCATCCCGGAATCCCAGAAACCCGAAATCCCTTCATCCTTCTATCCATCCATCCAACCTTTTCAGAGACATTAGCAATCGCAATCGTCGTCTGCCATGGGGCACATCATTAACGTCTTTCTGGCTGGGATGTGGCATTGGCCCCCAAAAGAGACGACTGCTCATCAACTGGGCCGGGCCAAAAATGTTTATAAAGCTGTTGTAGCCAGTTTGGGTTTAATGAATTACCACGCTCCCACCTCGTGTGAGTGCAAAAGTTTCGACTCCGTTTGGATGTAATTAAAGTGGTCTTTGTGGTTCAGACAGAGCAGGGTCTTAGGAGAAGAGGGGTTGTTGTAATAAATATATAAAATTTCAATAGAACATAAAGTATTTTATAAAGCTAAAATGTTAGTAAAGGAATAAATTCTTAAAGTATTTAAATTTCATAGAATTTCTTTTCGGTTTGCTTCCTTAAAATCATTTCTTAGGAAGTCAAAAGTATAAAGTGTATATATATACATATATATATATATTCACTGTTTCATTTCCCCAATTAAAATTTACCAAAGATTGGAATTAGTAACTTAAATATAGCCTAACTTTAAAGCATTTTCTAAGCCTCATCTGTATTCCAAGTCTCTGGACCCCTTGGCAACGCCTTCTCTGGCTGGTCTAGATTATCGTAGGCATAATTAAGCCACATCAATGTCGTGTTAAGTAGCCGGCCGACTAATGATAGCAACATTTGCAACAAAAGCCAATTGTTCAACACAAGGAACCCAGAGCAAACAGAGGGGTCTGAGAGCTCGTGGAGAAGCCCTGGCAAACATTTGGGACTTTAATTTTTATGCGTGAAAACACAGACCAACAAAGACCCATAAACACGAAACAAAAAAAGAAAAAATAAACAAAACAGCGACCACAGGCGGCACTTAAAATGCGAGACATTCATTTTTCTAGGACAAAAGCAAAGGACACTGTCAGGAGGAGGAGAAACCGGCAGGACACGAGGAAATTCAATTAGCCTGAGAACTTTCGGGTTGGCTTCACCGTTTTGGGCAACGTTTGCTTAGGTAATGTTTCAATTAATTCGGTCCCAGGACCTCATCTGTCTGGTCAGTCTCCCCCCATGGCTAATGATGCCCAGGGATGGGGACTGGGTGGTCCTTACAGCATCAGCGTTAGATGATGATCACCCGGGATGATGCATGGGATTTCCATTCTCCCGCAGAACAAAATCAAATCAATTGCCCACAATTAATAACACCAATTCGGGCGCATCGATTCAGACTGCGACAGCATTTCATTATTTGTTATATATTTCAAAGATATTTATTTGATAAACGCCGCCGACGTTTTGCCGTCAGACGCCAAAAATCTCATCGCTTTAAGTGGCTCATTTCGGTAAGATTCGGAGGCTGGTCCGGGGTCCTTTGCAGCCATAACCGCAGGCAATGAACCAACACCACGACTTCCAGAAAAAAAAGAAGAAAAGGAATCGGGCAGGGCTCCACGGCTACCGGGTAACATATCCAAACGCCGCAAATGGGCAAAGAAAAAATAAAATCATATGAACATGGAGTGCCGAAAAAAGGGCAAACATGCGACGTCGTCTAAAGGATTTGCCCCATGGCAGGCAAACGGCAAAGACAAAGTAGCTGCGTTCCCTTACAAAAAAAAAGAACTGAAAAAAAAACCCTGAAAAGACCCAAAAATGTGCTGAGCCAAGACCACGATGTGGATATATTTGGGAATTTATGCCGCGATTTTTGAAATGAAAAAGTGCAGAGCAAAAAAAAAAAACGGAAAAAATAAAAGTGAAATAAAGGCAATGAGGACTCTCAGAGGCGGTAGAAGTCAGAAGAGAATCGCGTATTCGGTAGCCCGCAAGTGTCAACCAAATAAATTTGAAGACCTCGTTTTTGGGTTACGCTCCAGACGAATAAGGGATACGCTTTTTCTCGAAGTAATACTCATGGAAAAGGATAGTTTCAGGACCTAAATTAGAAATAAATTATTAAATTTTGAAGTCTCGGAACCACAAATAGAATTTGAGGCAGTATTACTATTGATATGATTTATTTATCTAAACGATAACCATGAAAATAATCAAGAACATAGGAAATATGACGGATACATTTTTACAATTACAGAAATATTAAAAGAAGTTATAGAACTTGTTTAAATATACCTGGAATATGTTTATAAATAAAATTTCTACGATATACATTTTAGGTCCTTAATGTACATTATTAGTCCTTACGTCTATTATAGGCATAGATTATCAATAATGTACCTATATCAAAGAAATTTTATTTATATATTTAAATATATTCTAAGAACGCTCAAACAGATTTAATTACGTACCTTTTTATGGTTGTCTTAACTTTGTAAAATATTTATAAAATATTAATCCATATTTAGGGGCATATTAAAATGTATCTTTAGGGTTAAATTTAAGAGATTCATCTTTTATAAAGAGGGAAATCTAATTAAAAACTAAATTCTGTCATAAATCAAACCAATACCTTTCCTTCTAATAACAAATAACCTTA